ACAGCATCCAAAACATTAATTCAACAGAAGCTATCGCTCCCTTTAAACCACTGGTGCTCTATAGAGACACTTCAACCATTGGCGTTAGATGTCCATCTGGAGTAGTACCACTGATTTCCTTCATCCATATATATTTGCCGAGTCCCCTTTCAAAGATATCCAAGTTGTTGTTGCTATCATGGTAATCAATGTCAAAGGCTCTCATGGTCAGAACAGTCTTCGTATCCTCTTAAGATGCCAGTCACAGATGCAGGTGAAACGTCAGAAGAAAATCTTGCTAGAACATGGCCATACAGCCTAGAATTCACACAGCACCACACTGATCATACTCACCATCACAAAACAGATCTCTACTCTCTGGCTTACAACCTAATTAAGGCATGACACAAAAGGAGAAGGGAATGAAAGTGTTGGAAAGGGTTAAGAGTATGACATGCTGCCTCTTCTTTCCCTCTAGGATCAGGGCAGTAGCAGTTGGGATGGAGGGAGGATCTTTCATCTACTTCTGGGCAAGATGGGACTGTGCCTCCTTTCTCTCTCTGAGGACAAGGCTGTGGCAGTTGGGATGGAGGGAAAGCCTTTCACCTGCTTCTGGGCCTAGACATGATGGAAGGAAGCCTTCCTATGTCTTCTTCTCTCCCTCTGAAGACAGGGCAGTGGCAGTTGGGATAGATGGAGAGCCTTATTTATTATTATTATTATTATTATTATTATTATTTATTTATTTATTTATTTATTTATTTATTTATTTATTTATTTACTGTACTTATACCACACCCGGAAGGGAGACTCAGGGCAGCTTACAAACTATGGCAATAGTTCAATGCCGGATTCAGACAATAACAATATCAACAGAACACAATATTATAAAACTGCCAAAAAAAAAACACACATACGTATCAATTAAAATAGGCTTTCAAATGATTAAAACGTATTAAACATTTCAAAGTTACATTGCATTGAAGCACTATTACAGGTCTTACTGTCCAGTGGCTTAAACGGCCAAAACCCTAATAAATAACAGCTCAACACCCTCAAAACATTTTTGCACACCACCCACCCCCACCTAAAATTAGTCCAATCCACTCCACAGCCAGTTGTCCTTAAGGAATGCCCAAGGGACTGATGAAAGATTCCCAAAAAGACATCCAGCTTGTCCAGTCTATTTAGCCCAGATCAGTCAATTTGGTCTGGGGTGTGGGCAAGGGAGTGGCTTGCTAATAAAAATTCAAATACTGAGCAATGGTAAGCCACAGCTCCAAAGGCAACAGTGACAATGTTGGTTGAACAAGCCAGTGTTGGAACACAGTAGTGTCGCAACCCTGCACAACGTCTCTCAGTATAAACAGTCACTCACTATGCTCGTCGTCAGTCAGTCCTGGTCAAAGCTAAAGTAGATTCAAACAACAAACTATGCAGGGATAATCCTGAAGGCGTAGTCAATAGTCCAATCCAAAGATCCTAACCAACATATCCAAACTATATGTAGTCCAAAGTCAAGGTGTAACTCACGATGAGGCACATGTAGTTATCCAACAGATCTCCAAGCTAAAGCAAATTCCAAATATTACTCCCAGCAAAGACCAAATCCAAACTGCTACTCTTTATGCTCCATAGCACAAGTGTTCTCACCTGTTGGCCCTTCTCTGTGCCAACTTGGCGGATCTACGGAGCTGAAGAGCATGAGTCCTCAGTTGTAGTCTTTCTGAGATGCTTAACATGGTGGAGAGCTGTAGAAGCTTCTTTCTCATATGCTTCTCCTGAAAGACTATGGTGGCAACATCTACAGTTTTAGCTCTAATATTTATTATTATTATTATTATTATTATTATTATTATTATTATTAACTTTATTTGTACCCCGCTAGCATCTCCCGAAGGACTCGATGCGGCTCACACAGGCCGAAGCCTCAAAAACACAGTACAACAAAACATAGCACAACAGCAAACAAGCAAATCAAAACAGTTAAGCAAATAAACAATAACAGTAACAATACATCAGGACACTTTAAAAACTGGGCCGGCCAGAGCAGAGGGTACAGGATTAAAAGTGCTGAAGTGGCAGGAGGGACGTAGGATTAAAAATATAGTGCGGTGTGCTGCGATCTTATTTCTACTCAAGTGCTTCTAGGACTTGGTGATGGGGATTCCTAATCTGAGAAGGCACATCGGAACAGCCAAGTTTTTAAATTCTTTCTGAAAACTACCAGAGTAGGGGCCTGTCGAAGCTCTTTTGGGAGGGCGTTCCAAAGTCGGGGGGCTGCCACAGAAAAGGCCCTGTCTCGTGTCCCCACCAAACACGCTTGCGACGCGGGTGGGATCACGAGCAGGGCCTCTCCAGATGACCGAAGTGAGTGTGTGGGTTCATAGATGGAGATGCGGTCACGCAGGTAGGGTGGTCCCAAACCGTTCAGGGCTTTGTAGGTGAGCACCTGCACCTTAAATTGGGCTTGGAAAAATAAATGGCAGCCAGTGGAGCTCCTTAAACAGAGGGGTAAACCTCTCTCTATAATGAGCCCCGGTTAGCATCCTGGCTGCTGCCCGCTGGACCAATTGGAGTTTCCGAGCCGTTTTTAAGAGCAGCCCTACATAGAGCGCATTGCAGTAATCCATTCTAGAGGTGACTAATATTTATTTATTTATTTACTATGATTGTATACCACCCTTCTCAGCCCGCAGGCGACTCAGGGCGGTTTACAGAGGCAACAATTCAATGCCAAACAACACCATAAAACATTCAAAAGTATTAACATATAATATAAAACCATAACAAGATCAGTAAAACATAAATCATTTGTGTCTCTCAGGTGAAAACGTCATCCAATCTCATCATCCAGTCGTTCCATATTCCTATGTCTTTCACACTGCATTTTCAAATGCTTGCTCAAACAGCCAAGTCTTAACTTTTTTACGGAATGTTTTTTTTTATGGATTTGAACACGAAGACATAGTTTTTAAATAATTTTTATTGTTCATTGTTTTTATGGTTTTTAAATGTACTGTGATGTTTTTGCTTTTTATTATTATTATTATTATTATTATTAATTATTATTAACTTTATTTGTACCCCGCTAACATCTCCCAAAGGACTCGGTGCGGCTTACAAAGGCCAAGGCGCTCAATAAAACAACAGCATAACAAAACAACCATAAAACTCAAAAGGCAACCAATAAACATTAAAGCAATAACAGTAAACATTAAACAATAAACATCATGACACATTTAAAAACTAAGGGCCGGGCCAAATGCAATAAGTAAAATAAAAAGTGCTGGACATGACAGGTGAAATGTAAGGATTTTAGAGTAGGTGTGATGTGCAGACAATCTTAAATCTCTAATTTATTGATGTATGTATTTTTATATATGCTTTCTAATTGTTGCCGACTTATACGCCTGAGTCACCTTTGCGCAGATATGGGTGGAAAACAAATGTTGTAAATAAATAAATAAAAGGGATGGGGCTGATATAATGTCCTTAGGAAGGGAGTTCCATAGCCGAGGGGCCACCACTGAGAAGGCCCTGTCTCTTGTCCCCGCCAAATGTATTTGTTACACAGGCGGGATCGAGAGCAGGGCCTCCCAGATTATCTTAAGGGCCTAGATGTCTCATAAGGGAAGATGCGTTCAGACAGGTAAGTTGGGCCAGAACCGTTTAGGGCTTTATAGGCTAAAGCCAGCACTTTGAATTGTGCCCTCTAGCAAACTGGCGCAGCAGATATGGGCGGGATACAAATGTTGTAAATAAATAAAATATATAAATAAAAGGGAGGGGGCTGATCTAATGTCCCTAGGAAGGGCGCTCCATAGCCGAGGGGCCACCACTGAGAAGGCCCTGTCTCTTGTCCCTGCCAAACGTATTTGTTACGCAGGTGGTATCGAGAGCAGGGCTCCCCAGACGATCTTAACGTCCTAGATGGTTCATAAGGGGAGATGCGTTCAGACAGGTAAGTTGGGCCAGAACTGTTCAGTGCTTTATAGGTTAAAGCCAGCACTTTGAATTGTGCCCGGTAGCAAACTGGCAGCCAGTGGAGCTGGTGCAACAGGGGAGTTGTTTGCTCTCTGAGTGTCACTCCTGTTAGTAACCTGGCTGCTGTTCGTTGGGCCATTTGAAGCTTCCGGACAGTCTTCAAGGGCAACCCCATGTAAAGTGTGTTGCAGTAGTCTATACAGGATGTAAGCAGAGCGTGGACTACCATGGCTCTACTCTGTGTGAAGTCTCGGGGGACACTCTGGTGCAACATTTAGGTCTTCTGCTACTGCTTAGCACAGTAGCAAATGGAGGGATGTGCTTTGGGTGATCTGAGGACAAAGAAAGATGATTGGAAGCAGGGAGGGAAGTTAAAGGAAAGTCCCTTTCTAAGGAAAGTTGGATCTGGCCTTCATTCCTGAAAGGCTGTGTAAGAGGGGAATTACATCACTGGTTGCTCCTGTGGTAGAACGAGTAGAAATGTTCTCTAATACTATGTTTTTTGTTTGTTTGAGGACTGTCATACCGCATTGCTTCTCCAAGACCAGAGTTTGCATTTGGGCCTTGGTGCTCTCTAATTGAACATGAGTGTCTTTCAAGGCAGCAGACCTTCTTAACTCTCTTCTTTGCAGTATCAAACGTGCAATGTCTCTCAGCATCAACTCTGAAAGAAACACCAACTAATTAGTGCTCATTTTTACAGGGTGCAGACATGTGCGCGAGAGAGGCAATGGTGTAATGATTTGCCTTCATGAGGCTCAAAGTGCTGCATATGTATTGCCATTCTCGGTTTAATAGAGTTCCTTTAAATATGATGTGTGTGGGGGAGAGATGGGCCTCTTTTGTCTGGTACACGGTAGAGGGGTGAAGTATTAAACCTGCATGTAAAACAGTACTTTCTAATGAATGCTATGCCAGTATTATCTATTGAAGTAGGATTTTGTTGTGACAGTCGTCCTCACAGCGGCACAATTTCCAACCAGAGTTTCTGAACTGCAACAGCAAATTATTTTCTTTGTGTTTTGTCTTCACAGATTGCATTTTCTCAGCACAGTAACTTTATGGACCTGGTACAGTTCTTTGTCACTTTTTTCAGGTACCTCAAACAAGCATTATATGCATTCTTTTAAAAACTGTAGCATGTAGCAATGTTAACCTTGTAAGGTGACGTGTATTGAAAACCAGCAATTGTGCCAATTGTTTCCTTCAAGAATGGCAGACACAATTCCTTTCAAAATCCTTTGGTTAAAAGCCTAAATCCAGAAAGTTGTCTGGTAGAACTATTGAAGCACTATGATTATATAAGTTCTCTAATTATTATTATTATTATTATTATTATTGTCCCAGTGGTGATCAGCACACTGGGTGCAGTGCCTAAAGACCTTGGCCTGCACTTAAACACAATCTGCGCTGACAAAATTACAATCCGCCAGCTGCAAAAGGCCATTCTATTGGGATCTGCAATGTCACCTTGTAAGGTGACATGTATTGAAAACCAGCAATTGTGCCAATTGTTTCCTTCAAGAATGACAGATACGATTCCTTTCAAAATCCTTTGGTTAAAAGCCTAAATCCAGATGGTGGTCTGGTAGAACTATTGAAGCACTATGATTATATAAGTTCTCTAATAATAATAATAATAATAATAATAATAATAATAATAATAGTCCCAGTGGTAATCGGCACACTGGGTGCAGTGCCTAAAGACCTTGGCCTGCACTTAAACACAATCGGTGCTGACAAAATTACCATCTGTCAGCTGCAAAAGGCCACCTTACTGAGATCTGCACACATTGTTCACCAATACATCACACAATCCTAGACACTTGGGAAGTGTCCGACGTGTGATCCAATTCAACAGCCAGCAGAGTGTCTGCTGTGAACTCATCTTGTTGTGTTTCTAATAATAATAATAATAATAATAATAATAATAATAATAATAATAATAATAATAATAATAGAGCTTACACGATACAAGGATTTAAAGATCGAACTGGAAAGACTCTGGCAAAAGCCAGGCAAAGTGGCCCTAGTGGTGATAGGTACACTGGGTGCATTGCTTAAAGAACTTGGCCTGCACTTAAAAACAATTGGCACTGACAAACTCACCCATCAGTCTGGTTGCAAAAGGCCACCCTACTTGGATCTGCACACATTATTCACTGATACATCACACAGTCCTAGGCACTTGGGAAGTGTCCGACGTGTGATCCAATTCAACAGCCAGCAGAGTGTCTGCTGTGGACTCATCTTGTTGTGTTGCAAATAATAATAATAATAATAATAATAATAATAATAATAATAATAATAATAGAGCTTACATGATACCAAGAATTTAAAGATCGAACTGGAAAGAGTCTGGCAAAAGCCAGGCAAGGTGGCCCCAGTGGTGGTTGGCACACTGGGTGCATTGCTTAAAGAACTTGGCCTGCACTTTAAAACAATTGGCAAAATCACCCATCAATCTGGTTGCAAAAGGCCACCCTACTCGGATCTGCATGCGTTATTTGCCGATACATCATGCAGTCCTCGGCACATAGTTATCTTGTTTGCTTTGTAATAATCTTGTTGTGTATCTAATAATAATAATAATAATAATAATAATAATAATACGTGTTCGACTTGTGATTTTTTGATACGAAATCCAGCATATAGATCTCGTTTGCTGTGACATACTGTGCTTTTGTGTCAGTAAAATAATGATGATGATGATGATGATGATGATGATGATAATAATAATAATTGTGAAAAAGAAAAAAAGTCTGGATTATTGATGTCGCCATACCAGGGGTTTCTTTTGGGGGGGGGGGGGGGGGGGTGGATTTTGGTCGTGTCAGGAGCGACCTGAGAAAGTGCAAGTCGTTTCTGGTGTGAGAGAATTGGCCGTCTGCAAGGACGTTGCCCAGGGGACGCCCGGATGATTTGATGTTTTATCATCCTTGTGGATGATAAATGTTTTTCATGTTTTTCACTCAGCTAACAAACTAGTACCTGAAACCATGGACTGAAGGACTGCTTGTGCTGGCAAGACTGCTGATTGATAGGTCAACGGTTCGAATTTGAGGAGAGGGGGGTTAAGCTTCCTCTGTCAGCTCCAGCACCCCATGCGGGAACATGAGACAAGCCTCCCACAAGAATGGCAAAACATCAAACATCCGTGCGTCCCCTGGGCAACGTCTTTGCAGACGGCCAGTTCTCTCACACCAGAAGCAACTTGCAGTTTCTCAAGTTTCTCCTGACATAAAAGACATACCCTGGTTTGTTTGGGAGTGAGAAGCCAGGAGTGCTGGAGGATACTAACCAAGATGAGTTTCTGGTTATTACAACTGTAGTTGCCTGTGTGAAAAAGCAAAGTACAATTAATCATGCAATGCCCATGTAATTTAAAATATCTTTCTTGACCATTTCTCACTAATCGTTTTGAGCAAACACAGCCTATGTGTTTTGTCTGATGAGAAACTTAGGTATAAAGAGTCTCATCCCAAAGCAGAGGAGATACTCATATCCAAACATTTTAAATATTAAGATTAACTATATAAAGGATTTAGATGTTTCAGATTTCCAACTGGGAATAGATTGTGTTCTCTTCCCCTTCCCACCATAAGTAGGTGGAAAAGAATGGGCAGTCTCCACCAGACTTTAAAAAAGGTTAAAAGTTGCCCACGTGCTCCATTCTGCCAACCGATATCCTATTTTTATGTGTTTACGTCAATATTTGAGAATGAAAGGTGTTTACGCTGCATGCCGCTTCTTGCAGCGACATTGTGTATTACATGCAAATGCCAAATAGAATTCACACCCAAAGAAGTTGCAGGTGTTCTTGTACTGATAGCGAAATAAACATAACCGGGTCCGTCATCCTCTCAAAGACCAAAATGAGGCTTTGCTGTACACACGCTGTGCCAATATTGACACCGGGTTCCCAGTCTTTTCAAATGCTGTCATAGGAGTGCAGCCTAAAAAAAAATCATTGTACATTTCTGGAAGGAATTTGGAAATGTCAGTGTGGATATATTTTTGATGGCCAACCATGAAATAATGAGGCCAGACATAAAAGGTTGGGTTAAACAAGGGGCACTGTTTAACTTAATTGGACTTGAAAGGAGCAAAAGGGGGAGTGTGGATAGGCAACAAAACCTGGGTAATAATAATGCATGACCAGTAAACCCACATTGCGTTGAGGATTGGAAGATTGGCCATACTGTGTTGATCCAAAGAGGCACATGAAAAGGTCAGTCAGGGCTTAGAGCAGGTATGGGCAAACTTTGGCCTTCCGGGTATTTTGGACTTCAACTCCCACAATTCCTGGCCTCAGGCCCCTTCCTTTTCCCCCTCAGCTGCTTAGGCCTCCTGGTCTTTCACAAAGCTTATCCTCCTTGCATCATCTTTCACTGCTCATTCCAGGTATATATTCTTTTTTTTTTTTTTTTGAGGATGCAGTTCTCATCCCAATCCTTCTTTGGCTTCTGCTCATTAGGAAGCCTTTCCATGATTGCATTCTTGCCTTGTACTTCTGTCTTTCTGTTAGGAGCGGGCATACCTTGGGCCACTGGAATTAGTCTGTGTTGTTACTTTGTAGGATATGCTTGTTCATTCGTTCAGTCGTCTCCGACTCTTCATGACCTCATGGACCAGTCCACGCCAGAGCTCCCTGTCGGCCGTTACCACCCCCAGCTCCTTCAAGGTCAGTCCAGTCACTTTTCAGTTTGCTGACCCCCAGAATGTCTATCTTTAGTCTTGACATCTCACCAATAACAACATCTAATTTGCCCTGGCTCATAGATCTTACATTCCAGGTTCCTATGGTGTGTTGATCTTTAGAGCATCGGATTCGTCGTTCACCTCCAGTACCGTCAGCCGCTAGCCTTCCTTTCGGCTTTGAGCTAGCTGCATCATCACATCTAGGGCTAGTTGAACTTATCCTCTGCTCCTCCCCAGTAGCATTTTGGCCATCTTCCGACCTGGGAGTCCCATCTTCCAATGGCATACCGACATATCTCTGGTTGTACTAGTCCATTTAGTTTTCTTGGCAAGGATACTGGGGTGGTTTGCCATTGCGTTCCCCAGGGATCACGCTTGGTCTGACCTCTCTGCCACGACCGTCCCGTCTTGGGTGGCCCTTCACGGTTTCGCTCATGACATCATTGAGGTGCTCAAGCTCCAGCGCCCCGACAAGGCGGTGATCCTTTGCTGGAGAAGATATGCTTGCTTTGCCTAAATGATCGAGTAGGATGGTGAGATTTTATTGAGGTATACAGATAAAACAACAACAACAACAATAATAAATTGTCAAAGGCTTTCATGGCCGGAACCACTGGGTTGTTGTAGGTTTTTTCGGGCTATACGGCCATGTTCTAGAGACATTCTCTCCTGACGTTTCGCCTGCATCTGTGGCAAGCATCCTTAGAGGTTGTGAGGTCTGTTGGAACTAAGAAAATGGGTTTATACATCTGTGGAATGACCAGATCAACAATTGGGTCACACCGTTTACAGAAAACCCACACACACAGGTAGATATCTACACAAAACCTCCAACCATCACCCAAGTCATCCTTAGAGGTAGTGAGGTGAGGATGCTTGCCATAGATGCAGGTGAAACGTCAGGACCATGCCTCTAGACCATGGCCATATAGCCCGAAAAAACCTACAACAACCCAAATCAGAAGATGTTCACTTCTTGGGAGGAGAGCAATGGCCAATCTCAATAAAATAGTGAAGAGTAGAGACATCACACTGGCAACGAAAATCCACATAGCTAAAGCAATAGTATTCCTTGTAGTAACCTATGGATGTGAGAACTGGACCATAAGGAAGATAGACGCTTTGGAACTGTGGTGTTGGAGGAAAATTCTGAGAGTGCCTTGGACAGCAAGAAGATCCAACCCGTCCCTCCTCCAGGAAATAAAGCCCAACTGCTAATTGTAGGGAAGGGGATGAGAGGCAAAGATGACGTATTTTGGCCACATAATGAGAAGACAAGAAAAGCTTGGAGAAGAGAATGATGCTGGGGGAAATAGAAGGTAAAAGGAAGAGGGGCCGACCAAGGGCAAGATGGATGGATGGCATCCTTGAAGTGACTGGCTTGACTCTGAAGGA